CAACGAAATTCTCTACTTATAATAGGAAATGATTTATCAATTATCATGTCTTACCTTTTACTAGATGATCATAAAAACGAACAAGAGCAACAGCAAAACAATATGATTGTATGTCCTACGCCATGTATTGGCAAAAATGTGGATGAAACTGTATTACACTCTACTATAGCGGATGTCTATGAGCAGTCAACAGCGTCGAATAGAAGCGAAGTATCATATAAGGCAAGTGCTACATAATTTTGTAAAATGTGCTTCACTTTATTCAAGATGTTGTTGAAAGAACATACATGGTACGTTGATGAAACACTGTTTTTGCTGGCAAATATCTTGAGTTTTGAGCAGTGGCAAATTCGCCAAGCAAGAGTATGATCGTCTCAAATTATTCATCGTTCTTTGTGAAATCTCGAGAAGAAATAAAACTATTTCAAATTTTTAAATGTAATTTCTATTCTAAAAATACCAAAACAAATATGCTTCTAAAGTAGTTAAAAGTGACTGAATATTTCTATAGAGACATACGTGTTTAGCCGAAATTTTGTTACGGAAGAAAGTCAATTACGACTACTGAGAAAATCTATCAGTATAAATCAAACACGTTCGAATATCTGCATCGTTTCTTCTTTTGATGTTTATTATGTGCAATAAATCACTATTCGTATGGATCAGCATAATAGAATTGATTCGTTTGAACGAATAGTAGATAAAATTTCCACGATTTTTGTTATATCGACGTATAAATCTCTATGCGTGACCAAGACGTCTAAGTCATTCAGTTGCTTCTCACTTTTCGAGTTTTGATCGTAGTATTTGATGAACTTCAAGATTGAGAAATATTCGTTTGTAGGTTGTTGTCAGGAATGGAACTATTATAATCGTCTGAAAGGAGTTTAATAATGTTCGAAACACTTAATGGAAAGATAAGACTATCGTTATTTTGATGTACTTTTCCAAAGTTCAAAGATGAATATATGCAAGGAACAGTTTTAAATATAAATATGAAAACATTAAGTGATCTTTATTGTGGACATAGGCTATTGTTATCTCTGAATTTTGAAATATTTTAAACTTACAAACTTTTAAAGTTGATATGCTTGTCATTTTATCAAAAAATGAAATTCTACTTTGGATGCCATGAGAATTAGTCGGAAAGTCAAAACAATCCAAATGCATACTACCAAATAGCATATTTTCTGAGCGAATTTATTTTAGGATCTTCTTAAAACGTAAAATAAATAAAACAAAACTCTGTATTTCAACAGTATTTTTTTCTACTGCCATGGTGTCTATATGGTGGGAGAGAGTACTTGTAAAAGCGAAGAAAAAACTCGGATCCAAACGTACACTAAGTATTATATATCAAATTGCAGAACAGTTGAAACTTTTGATTTAAACGAACAGAACCAAATGCTGTTATTGTTCAATATGAAAAACAATTTTAAGGATAAGATTTTTTCCTATAAGAGCCAAGTTTAATATAACTTTCTCTATTGTCCTCGAGACCTAGTACAAAGATTCATCGGATCCTTGTTACATACTTTTATTGGATAGCGAAACCTCTAAGACGTAAAGTAATGAACATTTTTTAAAATATCGTTTATAATAAATTTATCGAAGTTATAACTGAAGATGTAAGCTACCGACTTTTTGCAGCTGTTAAAAACGAAAAATTGGCGAAAATTTTCGCATCACCGTCATCAACTTGTTTTTCTCATTCAAGAACTTCCTTTATTTCTAGAAAAATTTGTAACTTCACATATATAACTGAGCCTGTTCATCTGTAGTAGTTATTTTCGGACTTGAGAGCAGATATTCATGAGGTACTTTTATCCAGTGCGTCCTGTCCTGCTCTTTCCTGACAAAAAAAGGTATACTAAAGAATTTGTTTCCTGTTCTGTACTTCAGGCAGGACGAAGTATGGTAGGATGCGCCATAGAGCAAAGAAAATATTACAAACGCATAATGTATATGTAAGTTCAAATGCTGATATTTATGGATCAAATTAATAAAGTTAAAAATGAGACATGATTAACAGCAAGGAAGAATAAATCACGAGTGACAGAGTAATTTAGCAAAAAAAAAACACAGGATTATTAAGTTTTTTTTTGGGGGGAGTGGGGTCCTGATTGATCTAGCGAATAGAGTTTTTTCAAGTGCTTCTGATTTCAAATATTGCATTTCTTTTAGTAAAGTCATTGTAATTAATTGGATGTATATGATGAAGTGGTTGGAGCAGAAGAGATACTCGAGAAAGAAAGTATAGGTAAATTATTTCCATCAACAGACGAGGAAGAGTAAATATCAGTGAATGAACAGTTGGTACACAGAAAGCGACAAATCTAGGGTACCCTGTAGAGCTTTCCTCAGTAAAATTACAGGTGCGGGTACCCATACAAGTACTTCTTCAGTAAATATACTGGTATAGGTACCCAATGCAGTATCTACATCAGTATAATTACCGAGAATTTTCGAAGTACCCGTATCGGGTACCTTGCTGAAGCTTTCTCAATACATGGGTACCCTTAGCTCAGTACATTCACTAGGGTATTATTTCATGAGGCAGGTTTACCCTGTTCTCTGGACATCTCTGCTTCGTAAGCACTCATGATTAAAAGAAGCTTGATTTTTCTTTTTTACTCGAGCATACAAATATTTGCAAGGTGCCTCAAATTAGCAAAGGTTGTAGTAAATGTACGCATTTTTTGACTTTATAGCTAATCTGAGAAGATAAAGTTCAGTCGGAATAGAGTTTTCAGAGACCTAACTTTACATTATTATAGAGATTTTCTTGTTTTCTTTTTCATAAAAGTACTTGCAGAAGCTTAAAAATACTACATGTGAAAATTCTTATCAAGACTTTAATGCACAACTAAGGAAAGTAGAGAGAAGAATTACTAAAAAAACAAAGCGTCTATAATAGTACTATATCCTGGCACTACGAGCTATTACTGCTCAGTTTAGAACATATCTGACATATTCTTATTTTGCAGAAAAAGTTCAAAGGTATTTTATGAGTTAAATATTTTGTCACCGTTTTCATTCAAAACATTTTACACGTACAATTTGCATCAACTCGAAAGGTATCATCCGGAATTTTCTAAATTTCCATGACTGAGATATCATTTTGGCCTTCATTCTGCTGATTTTCCAGCTCAAAACTTCAAAAACTAAGCAACTATTTTGAGTCAAACTATAACAAGAATTTAATGACTCTCGAAATTATTAATATTGGAGTGGTCGTTCAATGAATTCTTCAAAAAGGTAACTGATAGAGCCTTCTGGTACGGGGAGAAATTATACGTTGGAAGAGTCTTTTATTACAACGAGAGTTATGTCGAAACGGGAGCTAGGCTATGCGTAGCATAAAAAAGTTTCATGTTGCCGAAAAGTTCAGTTTTAACACAATTTGTCCTCTGTCACTACCAAGAAACGATCGGCTAACATCTCTGCTTGTCACTACTAAAGTAATCTCTTTACACATTAGGGCTTTGTAGAGGAGATCGCTTCCTTCGATCAGATCAAGTTGGTTATGATGGATGAGAAAAACACGGCAGCAGTACAATCATCCTCCATTGTCTTTGAACAAGATACACTTGCTGAGTCACCACTAATTATACACCAGTCCGCGAATCCTTTTCAACATACCTTCGAGTCAAACGAAAGTGCATCAAATCTACCAAAACTACTGTCATTCCAGCAAACGTTGGCAAATAAACAAACATTATGCGAAAATTTCAATCAAAATTTGACACAAGTCTTTTCATCAAGCTATCAAGATGAAAGACTAACAACAAGCAAAAAGAAAGAGAGCGAATCAGTTTCAAGTAAGTCCTAGGTCTCTTCTCAAAAGTGCACCAATTGTTTTTAGTGATCTTTCTTGGTTACTTTCAAATCAACTTTTGCTATCCTGTTCTGAACTCATAGTTTAGTAATCATTTATTGTCAAACTTTTTTTGAAAAAGAAACTGTTGTCCTTTAAAAATAGAGCAAAAATGATTGCTTTTCAAACTAGGGTGTGAATATGAGTTCGGGTGTAGAGGTGTATGTCCGCGTTTTTTCTTATGTCCCAGTCAGGTCTACCCAAACAGACACCTACCATTACATAACGTTCACATCCACACCCGTACCCATACCCAACTTAATTCTCTACTTTTAATAGGTAGTCATTCATCAGCCATCATACCTTCCGTTTTATTGATGGATTATGAAGTGGAAGAAGATCAACAGCAAGACAGCATGAATGCGAATTGTATGTCATGTCTTAACCAAAACATGCATAACACTACATCACGCTCGACTACAGTTGATGCTAATGGCCAGTGGATGATATCGAATACAAGCAAAATATCGCATAAGGCAAGTGTTGCATTATCTTATAAAATGTGCTTCACCTTATTCGAGATCTCGTTGGAACAAATTGTACCATATGCCGATAAAACTCTACTTTCACTGGCGAATATCTTGAGTTATCAGTAGTGGCAAACAAGTCAAACAAGAGTACGGTAGTCTGAAGTTGATGGGTGAGTGTAGATATGGGTGGAGAGGACACCCATGCGCATAATTGTCCCCATCCTCCACTCTCTAGTACGAAGGAAACCTCTACCTTAGACGAGTCACGTCAAAATGAGAGCTAGCCTATGTTTAGCATAAAAAAGTTTCATGTCGTCGAAGACTTGGGTTTTGGCTAAATTTATCCGCTGCCGTAACCAACAAAATGATCAGTTAACATCTCTAGTTGTAACTATCAAAGTAATCTTCTTTCTCATTAGAGCTTTATGGAGGAAACAAAATCTTCCGATCAGATGAAGGTGATTATCACTGATGAGAAAAACACGGTAGCAGTACAATCATCCTCCACTATATTTGAACAAGATATACTTACTGAGTCACTACCAGTTGTACTCCAGTCTGCGAATCTTTTTCGACGTACTTCTAAGTCAAACGAAAGTAAATCAAGTGTATCAAAACCACTGTCGTTTTAGCAAACGCGAGGAAATAAACAAATGTCACACGAAATTTTCAATAAAAATTCGACACAAACCTCTCGATCAACCTATCGAGGTGAAAGTTCAACAACAAGTAAAGGGAGCGAGAGCGAACCAATGTCAAGTAAGTTCAAAACTTCTTTTCAGATGTACATCGATTTTCTGGGTGTGTGGGATGTGGAGTAGGGCGTGCAAGTGTGGGTGTGGATGTGGGGTGTATATATGTAGGCGGGTGTGGGTGTGTCGGTGTGGGTAGGTGTAAGTGTGAGTAGGGCATGTAGCCCATGTAATCACGAAACGCAAGATCGATGCGTTGAAACGTGGTTTCACAATAAAACGCGTCTAGACGCAGTTAAAAACGGGTTCACAGCACATTCAAATGCATTTTTAATATGAAACGCGTTGAGACGCAGTTAGAAAACTTTTGAAACCCGTCTGAACGCAGTTTTTGTATGCAACGTGTTGAAACGCAATTGTAAAAAAACTATGAACCGCGTCTCAACGCGTTTCATATTGAAATTGCGTTTGTACGTGTTTAATAAGAGTTTGACGTAACGCGTTCAAACGTGGTGTAATATGAGAAGCGTTGAGACGCAGTTAGAAAAAATTTTGAAACGCGTCTGGACGCAGGTTTTCTATACAAGGCGTTTAAACGCAATCAGAAAAAAATGAACCGCGTTTCGACACGTTTCTGAAAAAATTTAATGCGTTTAAAAAAATTTTGTTTACGAACTGCGTTCAAACGTGTCTTAAATATGTTTTTCGCTCGCGTTAGGACGCAATCATATTTTTGAGTGCCTTTGAAAGTGTTTATTTTTTGTGTATCGGACGCGATTTTACCCAAAAATTGCTGCTCTAGAAGAGTTAACTGCATAATCAAAATCATCAGCTTATATGTATTTTATTCATCTAAACTTCATTAGACTTCTAATAAAAAATGTCGAGATGACGTTAAAATAGACAAAATTCAATTAAACATACGGTGAACAGTCCATATTTCTCGAAAGTTTGTAAGAAAAATAGTTAGATAATATTGTAATAGTTTCCAGCTATGCAATGCCCTTTCAGAATATTGTTAAATACTACTATTTAAATAATATTATTAGTAACTTTTCATCATATATTTCTACTAAATTGGTTGTCAATAATTATATATTCATTAAATTTTTCGATAAAATTATTTATCATATTACCAGTGCAATAAAAAACATCGTAATATTTTTTATGTGTAGTAGGTGATAAAAAAAAGATGTTATTTTATTAAAAAAATAACTGAAAAGTCATCTTACGTGTTAAGACTCTTGAATTCGAAAAAAATACATCTTGTTAAAATAGTATTTAACCGATGAAATTCGTCTTCAGAAATATTTTATTTTGAATAAGACAAGATTTCGAGTTAGTATAACTCAGCGGTATGTATGAACGACTTCTAATCACTGGTTCATCTGTTCAAATCTGATCGTCGGCGCTTAAGGTAAAATCTAATCCATTTGCCAGGGAAGGCTAAGACCATCAAAAAATATTGATGGTGGCGACTCAGTTCGAATCTGAAATGGATTATCATATTTTTTTTCAAAATTGTTAGTTTTTTTATGAAACGCGTCCAGACGCATTAAATGTTTCATCTGGGACGCGTTTTCGCTAAAAATGCGTTTGAACGCAAGTCAAGCTAGAAGCGCATTCACACGCGTTTCTAAAATAAATCGCGTTTAAACGCTTCGTTTGTTTCACTGGGGACGCGTTCAAACGCGTTCACTCTTAGCGTTTCGCACGCAAATGAAACGCGTTTCAGACGCGTTTTGAGGCAAAAAATATTTACATGGGAGGTGTGGGCGTGGTTCTTGTCCTAATTCACACAACCACATCCACACCCGCACGAACACATAGACCCACACGAACACCCACACCCACACCCCACGCTCACACTCACACACATATCATCTACACAACAACAGTACAAAATATTATACGATCAATTACAAACGTCATTATCATCCGTAGCATTGAATCATGCATCAAGCATAAATGAACCAATAAGAACTACACAAAACGATTCATCTAAAATTTCAAAAAAATTATCGGATCCATCAACATTTATTTCTCAACGATCAAGTTTACTAAATTCAGTACAAGAAATAGTGGATGCTCCAGTTCCGTTAACTGAAAAATCATTATTAGAAAAAAAACTTAATACAAAATTACGAGATTCAAATGGTTTAGTCGTTGTTCGTAGTGACTCAAGTTCACCATTATTTTCATTGAAATCATTCGAAGAACTTAAACTGAAACCTGATTTATTAAAAGGTAGCTTTCTTAAATACTTCAGTATCAGGAAAACTAACTCTATTGCATAAAAATAACTATTATTTTATTATTTGAAATATATATACATATTATTGTATATATACTCATCCAATAGATAATAAGAGTTTGCTTTAAAAGTATTTTTCTTCTTTATAATACTCCATGTTATTTTCTATTGATTTTACATAAATAGCAATATTTCTATGTCGTATAGTTATAAAATTTAGATTTTCATTCATGTCCTGCATAGGATATATAACGCCAAAAATTTGCAAAATATAGAGAAATATAATTTAAACAAGAACAGGCGTTTTTTACTAGTAGCATATATCTGTTGGTGCTTTTCTCATAAACAGACATCTGAATAACGTCAGATATTCGGTACATATAGTTTAATTCTATCTATCAACATAAGATGTTGACATTTATTATCTGCTACTTCTTGGTTATTATATATGGACAAGCTTCTTTTTACTCTATGATAACTAGCTTGGCATTTTATATAAATATTCATGAAAAATATCTGATAAAAAAATCACTCGTTCTTGTTCTGTTCCTCTATCTGACACTCCACTTTGACCGATTGTCAGTCCTTCTATCCTATAGATGATCATCGGGGTTATGAGTGTAAGCTAATGCTTTGATCGGCGGCGGTAACTAAGATTTTCTGATGATCTTTTCAAAAAATTTTGGAATATAAGAAAGAAAAATAATAATAGAGAACGGTCGAATAAGATATTAGATTAGAAGAACACTGAAAATTGATCCGAGATGTTCAAAAAGTCAAAAACCTAATAGATATATTTATGCCACGGTGATTGCTCAGCCGCTCGACTTATATCTCTAATCAGGGCTGAAAATCTGCTGCGATAGTATTTTTGCAATATGTCCTGTGCCACTATGGCCATCTCTGTTTTAAACGTTGGATTCGAAGATTTTTTGTAAATAAGATGCTTAAAAAACAAGTGAAAAATTTTCTAGACGTCCATTTATGTTCGATTGCTCTGTGTAATTTTTTGGTTGACCTTCTCTACACTTCTTTTCCAATCATTCTTTATAAATGACCTCCATCTGTGTTCCTTTTAATAATAAGACAATTGAAATTTCTTTCATTCATAACATATAATTTCATTTTTGCATAGGTATTTTCAGTATGGGTTTTCAAAGTCCAAGTAAAATTCAAGAAATTGTTCTACGTCATTTATTAGACACTTCACCAAGTAAATTAAATTTATTATTTAAATACTATTTTCGAAATCATTTTGTTCCCTAGAAATATAATAGTACAATCACAATCTGGTACAGGCAAAACAGCTGCTTTTGCTATAGCAATTCTATCACGTATTGATCCATTGATTTCAACTGTACAAGCACTTATTCTTGCGCCAACATATGAATTAGCTATACAAATTGGTTCAGTTATTGAAAAAATGTCACAATTTTTACCATATATACAAATCGCTTATGCTGTGCGTAATTCATCAAGACCAAAACGAACTAATATGATCCGTGACCAGTTGTTGACAGAACCAATTGTTATTGGTACACCAGGTACAGTTGAAGATTGGTGTTATAAACGACGTGTTATAGATTTAAGTAAATTACGAATATGTTGTCTTGATGAAGCCGATGTTATGATAACAATTGAAGGTTTTCAAAGAACATGTGTTGATCTTGTACGACGTCTTAATCCTTCTGTTTGTCAAACAATGCTATTTTCAGCGACATATTCTGATGAAGTTATGGCATTTGCACGTGAAATTGTTAAAAATGCACTAGTTTTCAGATTGAAACGTGAAAAACAAACATTAGATAATATAGGACAATATTTTATACGTTGTTTTGAACCTGAACAAAAATTTAATGCTATTGAACAAATCTATGATCATGTAACGCATGGAAAAATAATAATTTTTTGTCGAAAAAGAACAATAGCACATGTTTTAGCTGCCCGGATGACAAATTCAGAACGTTCAGTACGAGAATTAACAGAAGATTTAGATATTGAACAACGTGCATCAGTTATTCATGAATTTCGTGAATGTAAATTTAATGTACTTATATCAACAGACATTATAGCTCGTGGTAAGTTGAACTGAACAGAAAGTAGAATATTATTTAATTCAGATCTGATGATTTTCTTCATAATTTCATTTTCTCAATTACAAATAATTATTCTCTTTGTCATTAGCTTTCTTTCTCTACATATTCGTTATTCATATAGTGAAAATAGTAGAATAAAAGTAATCGAATTCTTTTTAGGTATTGATATTGATGATGTTTCAGTAGTTATTAATTATGATATACCAGTTACTACTAATTTAAAACCTGATTATGATACATATCTTCATCGAATTGGTCGTTGTGGTCGTTTTGGTAAATTAGGTATATTAAATATTTCTCTGAATATTTTTAAACATCGAAGTTATTTATTTTATTTTCAGGTTATACATTTAGTTTAATTGACTCAGACAAAGATTTCGATAGGATAAATGCAATTGAAGAACACTTCTGTCATTTTATTGATGAAATAACAATTGAAGAATTAACAAATCTTAGACTAGATCAAGAATGAAATTTATTCTCATAAATCTGTATTATTTAATAAAAATTCTTTTCTTGTCTATAATCCAGCAAAATATTATATTGGATTTTTTCTTCTTTCTTTTGTTCTCTTTACACATGATACACATTATCAAAAGCAAAAAAAATTAAATTATCAAGATTGATTCTGATATTTCAATAGAAAAACGTCTTTTTAGATGAATGATTCGAGAGTGTCGATGTCGGATGCAAGTTTTGAGTTCAAACACATCGACCCAGACTCAGTACCTTGGGTGCGGGTGTGGGTGTGGGTGGGTGTGTGGGTGGGTGTGTGGGGTGTGAGTGTGGACTGGGTGTGGGTGTGGCTGGGGTGCGGGGTGGGTGTGGGTGTGGATGGGTATGGGTGTGGGTTTGTGGGAGTGGGTGTGCGGGTGTGGGCGTGGGTGTCTGGGTGTGTGCGAGGAAGTCTTTTATACCAATACAGACACACTCACACCCTCACACTCACACCCTCACACTCACACCCACACACCCCACACCCACACCTACACCCACACCCACACCCTTGTTGCTTTCTGATTGGTTTTCATTTTGACGTGTCATAATATTCTACTGGTCGTGCTCAATGGTCGTGTTGTGGTAGCTTCACACAGATATATATTCATCAAATAATTCTTAATTGAGACAAATATTTAGAATTATTTTAAATTGTTATTTCATCTTAAAGTACCTTTTATTAGAAGAAAAATGACTATGTGGAGATTGTTAAGATTTATTCTTCGATTAATAAAAATCTGTTTCATATAATATCTATTTTCTACGAAATATAATTAACAAATTTCATAGTTGTTTTATGTAAATAATTAAATTTTCATTTTCAAGAAAAATACTTTTCTTTTAAACTTGAACAAACTTTTGAACAAAATCTATATTTTTTATCGAAAACGATTAATAAGTGGATGATGTTGATAAAATAAAAATCTTTTCACGTATATCTCTACAACTAATAGATTGATCCAGAGAAAAAGATGCTCAATTTTCCTCTACTTTTATTTAGAATTACGAAATCATTTTTTCACATTCTATTTCGATTAATATTAACATATTTTGTGTTAAAGGTAACAAGTAAATATAACAGATAATATTTTGATCGATTTTTATATTTCTCAATAGGGTTCCATACAAGAAAAACAAATTCTCTTATTTATTAAATATGGTCGTATAAGAAAATAAGTATATAGGATTGATTAAAAGACTTTTCTAATTTAAGACATAATGAATTTAATAATTATTTGCTACATTCACAATCAGCTCTCAATTTCAGTTATATAAGAGCAAAATTTCTATAAATAAAAAGTACATATATAATAAAGTCTTTTCTTTCATTTAAACACAATGCATAATAAAATTTTAATTAAAAAATAAAATAATCGTTTTATTAATATATATATAATACTCGTTAGTTAGATCATTTATGAAAAAATAACAATTGTGGATATGTACAACAGATCATCTTGTGCTTGTCGTCTTTATTGATGCAGATCAAATATAAGGATATACTATTTATGAAAATCAAATTCTGCACTGTAAAATGTAATCTTGAGTTTTGGTAACTCTAATCAACAATGGCGCTTAAGTTTCTGATTTAAAACTAATAACTAATGTGTGTCCGAAAACAAGAGTCATCGCCAGATTTTCAATAACTCCTCAACAGAAACAGATAGTAACCCAGAAATTTCAATAGTCGAAAGAGGAGAACTCTATCGGACGTTGTTTTATCTGATACTATGTACTGTAGGATGATTTTCAAAATATATCGTTAGTGTAGAACATTAAATGGAATAACTTCGCACAAATTTTTGTCTTTAAAATTTACTTGAAATGAAACAATTTTCTCATGTATGTTTTTGAATTTTTTACCAGGAGTATAGATTACAAAGTAATTTTTTCTTTAATACTATTAAATGAAAAGACTTCTAATAGAATTCTCTTTGTTCAATGGTTGTGAAAGGCAAAAACAACTGGCTATTGCTGTTGCCAAGTTATTGAGTTTACACTGAAAGGTTAGATTCTTCAACGATAATAATAATATGACTACTTTTTGCAAGCAAACGACAAGAAATTGATAAAATGATTTTCTTTTCGTTGAATAAATTCCAACTTTTTACTTAACTTCAACAAAGAAATAATGTCATATTATCTTCTGGATTAACAATTAAATTTTTATTTTGTATCTGTTTCAGTCAGATAAACCTCAAATGAAATAAAGACATTGATTTTCTATGACGATTTATATACAGTATCTAGAAATGCATCTGACAAAACTTAAACCTTATGTTCTTTGAACTTTTTTTACCTTATCATACTAATTGAATAATACTTGATGGAAATCTTGCGATCAGAAATTCATATGGGTAAAATTTCTTGACTGATGACTATTTGAATTGAGCTGAGAGAATTTCAAGAAAAGAAACATAAATTAAATTTGAATTAATATTAAAAGATAATGAAAAATATTTATGAATATTAATAAAAGATTCATTGTTTGAAATGTTACAATCGGGAGAAGTTAATTGACATTTTAAAGAAAAAAATTTACACAAATATTCTTTAAGCATCGATATCAATTTAAATTCTATCAGATATATCGAATATATGTATATCAATATTTAGTCTATATATTGATATATATACTCTTCAAGATTTTATCCGATCGAAAGTTCGTTCTGAATCTATGTTCGAAATGTATGAACGAAAGCAGTAGAAATAGCAGATTTAGTGAGAGGCATATCTGATCATACATGTTTTAGCTTACATTTTTATCCGCATCATATTCTCAAATTGTCTGAATTAACATTTGGGTGTAGGTGTGGGTGTACGTGTAGACTGATGAAGAGAAGATACACACCTACACCCACACCCACACCCGCATCGTCCTATCTTTTTATATAGTCGATGAAAAATTGCAGTCACTTTTCTTCTAAGATACTTCCTTAGTTTTGAAGATGACTCTAGTCGTCTTTGAAAACAGTATGCTTTCTGAACTATAATATGATGAGCAGATAGCCTAGCTTCTCCTCTATCAATTCACACAAGACTGAACTCACTAACTGTTTGCATTCCAAAAATATGAAGATTATACTGAAGGCTACTCATCAAATTTCTTCAAAACCTATGCGGTTAACAAATGTTTCCTTCTACAAGTTTTTAATCGCCCTCCACTTTGTAACATAATTTATTAACCTCCAAAGTTTTTTTTTCTACTAACAACGTCATCAAAAAACATACATTGAATTTATTTTGATGATAATGAATCAATATTTTCAGTTAGTACTCCTCAACCTTTATTTTACTGATGTTTTCATCAAAATGATTTTCAGAATCCAAATCAGCCAATAGAAAAGAATTTTAAAATGTTGACGTAAATTCATCATAAAGTCATTAATCATCAGCATCACCTGTACTATAAGTGCTATAATAATCGTCATGATCATTTAGTTCTTCTTCAATCTCTTCGGCATCAATATAGGGCTTTTTAAATGTTGTCTCATCTTGTTTAACATGACTGATATAACTAGTTGCTTCTATTGCACCTAAGCCATAAATCCATTCTTGTGCCAATTTGCTCACTGCACCAAATGTGCTCTTGGCTATTCAGGTTGATTGAATCTTTTTCAGTAATTTTCTGACAAGGATTAAAAATAATGAGGATTTATCGTCCAGTTCTATGCGATTTTAAAGATTTCGTTAGACTGCATATCAATAGATAGACTAGCGCAAAAATATGACAAAATCTGCTTCCAAGATTATCTTAATCACAAGAGCGATTAGTTGACTTGAGACTGAGGTAAGAGCATAAAACATTCATTTTTTTTCTATGCAAACATTAATTACTTTCGAGCTGTAAAAAGCAGTACATAGGTTTCGAAGCACTTCTCATTACAAAATACAAAGTCACGTTGATCACATATTTAATAACACTCGTCTCCATACTTGTGACAGAGTTTCGATAAACACAAGTAAGATATTCAGTACTTTAGTTGCAGACAGATACTACGTCGGACAATGTTCTATTAACCAGTTGTTTCTTCATTCACTATTTGAAGAATTTTTCTTGTTTGTTTTTGAAAAACGGAAAAATAGATTAACGTCGTATTTATTTCTTATTGATTTATTTCAACAAAATGTCTGCAAATAACGAAACAGTCTTCATCAACACATCATTATCGTTATCATCGAGTTCAACCATTACCATTCTGAACTTCGTATCAGATCGAATCATAAGTCAATTACCACTAGTATTTACCGTTCTTGGTCTTATAGGGTTCATTGGTGATGCCTTCACATTTCTTCAACCGGCTCTTCGTTCGAATCCTTGTGGTATTTACACTCTATGCGGCTCATTGGTTGATATCATCAACATTTTTCTCAATCTCTTTCCGAACTACTTTAATATCGAGCAGAAGAATTCAGTCACATGGATATCCAACACTATTTATTGTAGGTTGAAGCTCTTCGTTCTAGTTTTTCTACCTCAATTATCCATGGACTTATTGATCATGTCTCTTATTGATCGATTTGTTTGCTCTTGTGGCCCGACATCATTCATGTGGCATCTTCACGAACTCAAAATGGTGCCGTGGCTGATCCTTATCACAGCAATTATCAGTGGTCTTATATCTTTGTATTCACCGCTTCTCTACGATGTTGTAACAGGCATCGGATGTATCTCAACACATCCAGTCATCAATAGTGTGTTGTACATCTGCATTCACGGTCTTATGACACCAGCAACTATGCTTATTCTTGTGTTGTTAACCTATCGAAGAGTCAAAGAGAGTCGTCAACGAGTTGTGAGTATATTCAAGCTTCTTATTTAAAAGAAGAAAATAATTAATAGTTCGATTTTCAGGGCGTGGTTGCACAAATGAACATTAATCGCTCACGAAATCAATTTATTACTATGATTTTTGCACAAGCTTTCGCAACATGCTTCTTTGCACTACAATGGATTTGTACCTATATCTACTT